AAAGAGAAAGAGAGAGAGAGAGAGAGAGAGAGAGAGAGAGAGAGAGAGAGAGAGAGAGAGACGCGCGCTCTGTCGCTGGCCGATGCGGGGCAAAGCGAAGAGGAGGGTCAAAACACTCGGCGGTAATATCAGGCGAGCGAGAGCGCGAAGTAGCTCGCCTATGTATGCGCGCAGGGAATTACGAGCACGCCGCGATGGGAGCGGCGATGTGAGCGCGCGCGGGCCGTCCGCGCCGCAGGCTCGTATACATATTCAAATTGAATTATACGCGCTACCAGACGCGTTGATTCGAAATCATTCGACGGCTTGGTATCTCCGAAACAAACCGGCGCTGCACCCCGCGCGCCCGTCATCGGCCCGTAGCGCGGTGCGCGCCGTCCCCGTGCGAGTTTCCAACGTATCGTCCCTCTCTGACTAATGGAAATTCTCGGCGAGAAGTTGGTTAAACGCAATCGCTTTGCATACGTATCAGAACGGCTGTGCCATGCCGTACGATTCTGTGCTGAACGCGACGTATCGGCGAGAAGTTGGAAAGTCGCGTTTTGATTTCGATCAGCCGAAACTGTTGACGTCGGATTCGATGTCAGTCGCAAAAATATATAACTTCGTTCTTCTTGATGGAATCCTCTTGTATATGTGGCCTCAAGAGGGAATTCTTTTAAGACCGAGATATTCCAATACTCCAAAAAGAAAGAATTCCAATTGCAAGATACTATTTCCTGTAATCTCATTCTAAGCGAAAGTTCTTATCGGAAGAATATTCCTTTTCTAATAGACTATTGGTCGCAAAGAGTGCGGCCCAGCTGTGCGTGACCAAAAAATTTTGAGACCATTTTGAATTTAAAATAAGAAATTTACATAGATTACAAATATACAAGTGTCAAAGTGATCAGATTCCAGAGATATGGCTCATTGAAAATTTCACTTCCACGAGATGGTGCTCTCCGGCCGGTGACAATACTGTCACAAGCGACGAGTCCAGTCGAGATATAATTATTGCATAGTAAGCGCAATAACCGCGTGCACAGTTCAATGTGCAGAGCACTGACGCCATTTCGTGGAAGTGGAATTTTCAATGGACCATATCTCTGGAACTCGAGGTCCGACCACTTTGGGCACTTGCATATTTATAATCTACACACCATAAACTTTTTTAAGCCCAAAATGGCTTCCAAACTTTTTGGCCATGAATTTGGGCCATTCCTGGCCGCACTCTTTACCAGGTATCGTTCCAACTTTCTCTCCTTTTGAATCAAGAAGAATATGTTTACTTGAAGCATAGAATATTCTCTGTGAACTAGCGAATCAGAGTCTGGCTGTAAGAGTTTTGATTGGTTCGTCATGTTTTGTCAAATCCTACACGGTATCCAATCACAGTGCTCTTATCGCAGTAGGTTAGATTAGATTAAAAAGAGATAGACAAAGAGAGAGATTGGAAATATATTCCTCTCTCTCTCGTAGCATTTTGACAAAACTGCAGTTATGGCCAGACTTCTGATTCAAGGATCTCTATTCTCTGAACAAAATATCAAAGACGTTCCGATTTCTTTTCGAATATGACGTTCTTTCGACCAGATTCAAATTTGATGAAAATACGAATTATACGAATGTATATTCAAAAAAATATAATTGCATCTTTAGCGGAATTTTCTTATACACGTGACCTTTCTCAAGAGGATTCTTCTAG